CTAAGAAAATATCTAAATTTGCCTGGGATTTACATCATCAGCATGCTTCTCATACTCTTAAGTCCTTGTTGTGAGAGCCTCTGTGTTAGCCTAACCAAAGTTAAACAAACAGTTTATTTTACAAACTGATGCTTCGGATTTGGGTTTAGGAGCTGTCTTAACTCAGAAGGACCATTTGGGCAAAGAACATGTTATTGTTTATGCTAGTAGATCCCTTACTGAAAGGGAAAAGAATTATTCTGTTACGGAAAAGGAGGCTTTAGCTGTTATTTTTGCTGTTAATCAATTTCGTGCTTATTTGCTTTGGTCTACTTTCTTGCTAGTCACTGATCATAGTGCACTTCGATGGCTCCATTCCTTGGAACCAAAGGGACGTTTAGGCCGCTGGGTTATGGACTTGCAAGAGTTTCCTTTTAATATACAGCGTAGGTCAGGTACAAGTCACACCAATGCTGACTCCCTCTCTCGTTTATCTTTATCTGCCCCAGAGGATGGAATAGGTTCAGCTTGTGGAAAGAGGTTTTTGCCAGCCTGTGCCACAACTCTAGCTCCAGTTTCTAGTCTTCTTGATGCCCAGTTAGCTGATCCTGACTTAAGCAAGGTAATGGAACTAAATCACAAGGATTTCCTAGACCCCCTGCATTTGTTTGGGCACAAAATAAAACTCTACGTACTTTGTGGAATTGCTGGGATCATTTATATCTTCTGGACGGTTTATTGGTGAAAAAGCCAGCATTTATCATTCCCACAATATGCCTTTGTGATCCCCAAAGCTTTGATCCCATCTGTTTTGCAGGGAATTCATTCCCCTCAATTTCTGGTCACCTAGGGGTCAGTAAGTCTTTATCTCGTGCTCGTAATCGGTTTTAATGGCCAAAAATGACAGTCGATATTAGAGACTTTGTCAGTAAATGTGAAACATGTGCCCAAATTAAGTTAAACTCTCACTCCAATAAGGCACCTATGAAGTTCTATGAAATTAATGAGCCTTTTGTTTTCTGGGCCATGGATTATATGGGTCCTTTGCCAGAGACTGCAAGAGGGAATAAGCATCTTTTGGTTGTTATGGACCATTTCACAAAATGGTGCGAGGTGTTCCCTACCAATGACCAAAAAGCCAAAACTGTTGCTGAGGTTTCAGTTAACCAAGTTTTTAGTCGGTTTGGACCTCCTATGGTTATCCACTCGGATCAAGGTCGGAATTTAGAGAGCCATATAATGCAAGAAGTATGTAGGTTAATGGGTATACACAAGTCCCGCACAACAGCCTACCACCCCCAATGTGATGGTCTTGTCGAGCGCCAAAATAGGACAATACAGGGAATTCTTGCCTCATTTGTGTCAGATCACCCTTCTGACTGGGATAACTGGGTTAGCCTTGCTGTGTTTGCATACAATACAGCTTGTCATGAGTCTACAGGATTTAGCCCCTATGAAATGATTTTTGGCCGTATGGCTCGTACTCCACTTGAGTTAAATTTAGATATACCCTTGCTAAATCCCTGTAGTCAGTCAGAATACACACAGTCAATCAGAAAGAATCTTCAGGATATTAAGACTAGTGCTCAGAAAAGTATCAGTGTTAGTAGAGCAAAGCAGGCAGCTTATCGTGATTCTTCACATAATAGACAATGGTCTCCATTTTTACCTGGTAACTTTGTCTGGCTACACCGCCCCAAAACATGGAAGTTTGGAAAGAGATGGATTGGCCCTTATGAGGTATTATCTAGAAATGGGGTTAACTTCAAGGTCAGATCCAAGGATGAGAAAATTATGGTAGTTCACCATGACAACCTCAAACAATGTGTTTTACCTGCCAACAAAAGGGTCCTCTACCACCCTGTCCCTGAATCCATGGACATCACTTTTGGGGAAGAGCCTTTTGCCCAAATCGAGGGTGTTCCTGGTCAACAACAGCACCATCGCCCACCCCGGCTTAGGCAAAATATAGAGCCACCGTTGAGGTATGGAGAAATTGTGACGCATTAAAAAAAGGCGGGGGATGATGTAAAGATATGAACTTGATTTTGATCGTAACAAGTTCGTGACTTTACAGTGATGAGTTATGTCGTACCAATATACACTCTTTTTTTATAATAACAATTTTATAAGAACACGAGCCTCAAAACTGGTAAAAAGTTAAGAACAAATTTAGAACAAGCTGAGGCTGAGCTTCTACAAAATGCAATTTTGAACAACGTTTTTTCTCAAAATTGAGGATTTTTAGCGATGTGTGGGTGCTTTTTCGGTGAATTTTCAAATTTGTCAGCAAATTAAGGCTGTCTCACTCACTTTGTTGGCGAGTAAGGCCTGAACACCTCCTTAGAGCGAAAAAGCTAGCAATAGCACTGCTTACACCCTCTTAATTTAAGAACAAATTAAGAACAATCCAGCCTCAGATTTTCGAAAAATTAAGAATAGTCAGCCTGAACTTAAATTTACTTGTTCTTATAAAAAAAGAGTGTAAGTGAAAATCAGCTACTTCTGCTGGTTAATTCATGGATTTCTTTTTTCATTCAGCTAATTGTGGGATGTTTTTGAATTGCACAGAAGTGAATCGAGCAGAAAAACGCTTAATCGTCGCTATAGATAGGATGTGCCATCGAAATGTAAAACCTGAGGGTGCAAAAATATAGAACGGAGAAGTGTTCTATTCCTGATGAATTATCATTGATAGATAGGCAAATAAAATACTATTCAAGACGCTTTATTTTCGGCTCTAAGCAGACATGTGCTAAAGGTGTTATTCTAGAAAAATGAGCTAATAGTACAAAAATGTGGTTATGAAGCCATGGCGTAAGATCAAACATGTAACGCGAATATTTTGATGACGTCATCAGAGAAAGTTTCTAAAAAAATAAAACTTAAATTTACTTGTTCTTATAAAAAAAGAGTGTAGTGATGTTTGTTCAAGTATAATTGTCGTGATATGTGTATCGGCGTCCTATTGTGTTGATCGTTAATTAAGGCTTTCTTTTAAGTTGTTTTGTAGTTGATTAAAGTTCAGTTGATTAAGAGAAGCACTCGAAGAAACACGTTGCCCATCTCTCTCTCGCATCTCTCTGCCGAACCTAACGCCTATCGCTACAAATGTGTTTCTGTTTGGTTTTTGTTTTTCGGTCATTTTTGCCCTTTTGTAGTTTGAGATGAGTCAGTATAAGTGTGTGGACTTTGTCGCCATCAGCAGAGTGGTAAGATCTGGAGGATTGGACTAGACCAATGTCGCTTTTGAGGGTGATTGCAAGATCGAGTTGATGCCAATATTTGGATCTAGGGTGTTTCCACGTGACTTGATGTCTGACCTTTTGTTTGAACCAGGTGTTCGTAATGCAGAGTTGATATTTTTTTTAGATGAAAACAAACTACTTTCTACCAAGCAATTTGGCTTCAGAGCTATAATGTCAACAGAACTAGCAGCAACACTAATGTTAGATGATATCAGGAAAAACGTGGACAAAGGGCAACTAGTCGGCGCTGTGTTTGTTGATCTTAGTAAGGCCTTTGGCACTATCAGCCATTCCAAATTGGTGACATCATATGTCGTTGACGGCAAAGAATTTACCTGGTTTGAGGACTACTTGTTTAATTGGTCAGCATAAGTGAGCTACAACGACGTCCTATCAGAAGCTCAGCATTTAAAATCTGGTGTTCCACAGGGCTCAATCCTTGGACTTCTACTCTTTGTTTTATTTTTTAACGACATAACCGATGTAATTGAGACCCACATTGTCAAATATGCTGACGATACGGTTATTTTTTGGGCGGATAAGGATGTTACAAATCTGAGCAAAATCTTTACAAATGAAAAACCTTGAAAAATGGATGGATGAGAATGAACTCATTCTAAATGTGAAAAAAGGAAAAACAGAGATGTTGGTTTTTGGGACTGCCCAGCGTCTGAAGCAACAGAGTGAAGATATATGTGTTCAATACAAAGGGACGAAAATCAATACTACTACTTCGTATAGATATTTGGGAGTGGAATTTGATTCAACTTTAAATCTAAGCACCAACTTTGAACTATGCTACAAACGAGCTTCTGGCAGATTACGTCTACTATCGAAACTAAAATGTTTCTTGGACAGCAAAACGAATTGTAAACTTTATCGCTCTATGATTGTACATACTGTTACATATTGTGGGGTTTTAAACCTGAAACCAACAACTGGTCAGTCGAGAAAATTAGATGCTTTTCATGAGCGTGCCATGAGAGTAACTGGCGTGGGCTCAAAAGAATGCAGTGTCCTGTCACCTGAAAAATTGAATATAAAACGAGCTTGTGTCCTGGTGCAAACATCTTGAATAATGATATATGCGATGTCTTGCAGAATCACACCACAACACGTGCACACGTCAAGACCACAAGAAACAACAAATGCATAGCCACTTTGCCACGGATCAAAACGCGAATATGCGAGGAAGGGATTTTATTACATGGGGGCAAAGTTATACAACGCATTACATGGGGCAAAGTATTACATGGGGGCATTTACCTATAGACGTAAAAACTGACGAAAACAAAAAGGTTTTTAAGGAAAACCTGGATCTATTTTTTAAATGAAGTAGCTTTGATAAACTAGCCTTTTAAAATTCATCATAGACTTTTAACACCTTATTTATTCATAGTTTTGAAATTGTAAATTAGGCTTTTAACATTTTTTTTCTTTTAAGCAGGACAAGCATTGAAAACAGCAATACTTGTGTTGAAGCTTTTATCTTGTTGAAATATTCGTATTATTATTATTATTAGCAAGCATTCTTATGTCAACGCTGAGCTGCAACCAATTACGCAGCAGAAGCAGTTTATGTGGAAATAAGCATTTTACACGAGATGTGCACTAAACAATAATTATCAGCTTACGTAAGTACTAAATTAAGTCAATATGCATTCGACAACATAGCAGGGCTTGCTGGAACCATTTAAAAGAAATGTAGTGAGGCAATGCACAAAAGAACAACACACGCATATACACAAACGAAAGCAATAACTAGAGAAGATAGGCCATGATGTTAGACTTTTGAGAATTTAAACTTTGCCATCTCCGAATATGTATTGTGTTGAATCAGCGGCACTTTGGAGAGCCAGCGGCACTTTGGGACGTTGAAACGAACAAAAGACCTGCTTTCTGCTAACCTGTCTTCAGGAGTGGCGGCATGGGGGGGGCAAGGGGGGGCTTTAGCCCCCCCTAGATTTTTGTTAGCCCCCCCCCGTCGGCAGCCAATCAATTTTTGCTTTCTCAATACCGTCGGCACTTGATGGATGTCACCCGGTTTACATGTTGTTTGAATGACATAAATAATCGAGGAGAAAACTGTACTGGCTGGTTTATGGTTTTCTCAATGGCTTTTCTTCGGCAATTTTACTATCATAGTGGCATTATATCCTGTCGCTTCCGTGAAAGCTGTGACTTAATTTCATGGTGCTCCTTCGCATGACCCACAATACCATCGTGCTCCTTTCGGTTGAAATCCCTGTTGCTGCTCATGCTAATGCCAATTCATGCGAAACGTGCAGAGATGCTTGATTTGGACCATGTTTTGGACCGTTTCAAGGAAATTTACCCTAACAACAGCATAATCACGCTGTCATAAATAAAGTCTTTAATGAATTTTCTTCTTAAGGGATTCTCTTTTCGTTTCAAGACATTATTATTGCCAATGAAAACATTTCGATCATGAGCACATTTTGCGTAATAAATTTTTCAAAAAGCACTTCTTGTCCTTTTTCATCAACTATTTTTCAATAGCATTGTTCACCGCATAGCTTGCGACAAGCAAATGGTTTAGAGAAAACCATCGATTAACTTCTTCCAACATAGATAGGAAGAAATATTCAACAATAGGCAATATTTGCGCATTAAGTTTCTTACAAGGCACAAATTGCCGAGAAAATCTCGTGGAGTTCCGACATAGGTTGGAAAGTGGGGACGGGGAGGGGACAAGGGAGAATTTTGCACCCACAACAAATGATTTTGGAAAAATGCTCTATTTCTTGCTCTATATGCTTGCTTGCTCTTGGAAAAATGCTCTATATCGGTGCCCCTTCATTGGAGGTGCTGCTCAGGGGCGTCGCGACTGGGGGGTTGTCACACCCACCCCAATAGTATCTCAATAGGAAATTTCAGGTAAAATCCGCTCGGTGGAAGAAACGCTTTAGGTATTTCAGAGACCTTCCTGTCATAAAATCAATAAAGGTTCAAGCAATCTTAGGTAAAATTGTGCCTCGTGTCCATTTCTCCTGAAGTTTCTCAGTAGAAGCGTCAACTGCAATTCACTATGAGCTCCAGATTTTTCTTAACATTCATTAGGCATGCTAAGATGGAGAGAGGGACCTAAATTTAAAAGTAACTGACAACCTGGTATTTTTCAAGACCACGGCGAAATTGTTGTTTTTATCTGCTGTAAAAAAGTTTTGCAAAAAGACAATAATAGGATTAGGAGGATTGCTTTAGTGAAATCTGCTTAAAAGAGTGCATTTTCCAGGGAACTAGAAGCATCACAATTCGAAAAATTTTTTTACCCCTTCGGCGGCAACCATGGTGCCGCCTCAGGTAGTAACTATATATTTTGCACGTCCCGATATAGAGATTTGACAAGACTATTAGGAAAGTTGGTTATTATCATACAGAGTTAGATTGACAAAATGTATTGCAGAGGTTTGTGACACCAGCTAAAAAGTTTCAGGCAATAATTTTTTAATCAGGTAAATTTGCATTCCACACCCCCCCCCCCAAACGAGGCTTGCCTCGCGACGGCCCTGCCTGCTATATGGGGCAAATCGATTTTTTTTTCTGTCGGCAATTTGACACATCCAGCGTCGGCAGTTACGGAGAATATAAACTTCGGCACCTTGAAGGTTTGTCTCTAGCGCCACCCCTGCCTGTCTTATTTGTATTGAAAATACTAATTTTTGACATTTGATTTTATCATGCATTGTAGCTTCCCTTTCCAGGATAGGGTTGGAGGTGCCTGTCTCTCTCATAGTAAAATATAACAACGAAGACATAAATGAAAGAAAATTTGGGCGATATTTTGCCTACTGAAAGTCGATTTTACCGACAAACTAAAGATTTTGTGGACAAACTGAAAATTAACTGACCAACTCGTGAAGAATAGGGATTGTCACACCGCCTACACCTCTACTAAGCCCCTGACAATGAGCCCATATCAACAGAATCAGGTCATCAGTATCGTTTGTTCCCATCACCTATCGAATATTCATAATCTATATTCATTTTCACACTCATGTAGTTGAGATTCATCATGCTCCATACAGAATTTATTTATTATCATTGCTCTACTGATCCTGTTAGAGTTTCTTTTTGAACTTTTACACCCTTCACTTTATTGGTGCTTAATGCAGTCAAGGTATAATTCTTAGGGCTCGACTCCAACTGGCTATGTTAAATCAACTAGGGGTTAGCTTTAACAACCACGGGAAATTTAAGCCTCTGTCGACCTTCATTATCTACGTGCTAGATGTGTCTCCAATGCCTGCCAAATGTCTTGGAACACTGACATCAATTTCCAAGGTCAAAATCAATGATCCCCCTCTACCCTACAGAACAATGTTGGTTTACTATCAGACGGGTTAGGATTTTAGGAAGCACTTTCTTTTGCGCTTCTTTTATGATATTTCTCTAAATCATCAACATTGTTTTAGGGGGAAGGGAGCGGAAGTAGCAAATTTTTTTCATGAAAGGAATGAAAGATATCAAATGTAGCGTAAATTGCTGGGTGTTCCAAGTGCTTTTGGCAGGCATTGTCCCTCTTAAACACCGTGCTTTTATCTCGTCGTGTCCTTTATCAAACTATTCTCGCAGTTTCATGTCTGCAAAAGCGATCATATGGGAAATGTCACCCCACGTTTCCCATTTCAGTTTTTCGTTTAGTATTTCAGTCTCTGTTGGGAAGAGACTCATTAAGCGGGCCTTAGAACAGCCTCTATACCACCATGGCCCACGAATAGTAGCACAATTAAGATCGTTTCTGTTATCATTGTCGTTGTCCCAAGTTGAGAAATTCATCCCAGTTAGCATAGAGTCCCCAATGTCACCTGTGTATCCATCAATATGTATTGTGTATTCTGTCTCCCTTCCTGCAATGCGAAATTCAGTATACTTTGCAAACCCCTGCGTGCCGTTTGTCGCTTTAAGGTCTATTCTCAAGGTGACATTTTCGCGGCTTGTCAAATAGTGGATTGTGTCCAGCCCCAACCAGAAATTGCTCTTCAAATCACCAAAGCCTTGTGTACATTCCTGCCATGTTCTGTTAAAGTTTGTTAGACTTGTCACCCGCCGTAAAAACACAGTCCAACCTCCACCGTCTGTTTCCATATCACAGTATACTTGAGTTGTTCTACCATCTCGTAACCCTATCTTGATGACTCCGCTGCCAAGGTTTCCTGCTTTGTATGCGTCTTTGCAGCTTCGATATGTTGGTCCTTTGAAAAGGAAAGTTGTGGGTTACTTTAAGGATTTCCTTAAAAGTCTGACTTTATTGTAATTATTCAAACAGCCTTAATGCTTGATTTTAATGCTTTTGAATTTTGATTTTTCATATAATAGTATCTTTTTGAAGTTACGAAAAGTAAGCAGGGACTTTTATTACAATACGAAAAAATGCTTTTTTCACAAAAATAAATAACATTTTCAGATAACATGGATACGCAGAACATATTTAAGATTTTGAAATAGTAGTAGACTTAAATGACATTTCACACAATGCTATGTTTTTTGATAATCGACGTGAATTTTTTCGCCATCTAAAATAAACTTCTCGCGAAGCAGCTGTGGTCAAACTTGCAGGTGGAGAGTTCCAAGTCTATTTTATATTCAAGTCTGCGATCTTAGGGAGAAGCCTGGATTCTTCTAGCAAATTCTTTGCAAGGGAAAGGAGTCAAGGCTTAGGAGAGAGGGAGATGAAATTAATTTTGTTGATTTTGAAGACATTGTCAAAGAGTAGAATGGCATCGGCAAGCAACTGCAACTCTATAGTGGTTAAAGAGACAGAGACACTAACGACACTTATAGGCAGAGCTTTGGTACTAATGACGTAACGGAGACATCTGGGGCCGTAAGGAAAAGGCCGAGGCGGGGCCCCTATTTAGGGACTGCAAGAAAGTCCCATCCAACGCTGTGGAACATGGCAAACACAATAGCAAGATGTAAAAATGAGATGTTTTTCAATCGTGTTATCTTTAGTTGAAGATAAGATGATATTTTTTTGAAAATAAGTAAACTTGGGCAAAGTCTTAAAAACACTTAATTATGGGGCCCCTCAGTTATCGAAACTGCGTTACGCCGCTGGGCGGTACTACCCCGTACAATGACACAGGCTCATCTACCACCTTAAGATTGTCAATTTAAAATATTTGACGCTAGACGAATTGAAACCTTTTCTTGTAAAATCTGTTTTTAAGCTGACTTCCGATAGAAACTTCTTGGAAATAAAAAAGTATGGCATAACTACTAGAAAAGATTTTTTACCTTCTGGAGAAACTTTCTTCCAGATTTTGAATCCAGTTCTGCTTTTCGGTATCTCATCTTCATTTGATATTTGAGTGTATTTATTTGTATTTGTATCCAGTGATAGATATTTGCAGCTGTCCACTAGACTGCATTTATGAAAGTTCTTGCTAAAAACTGTTGTACCCAAGCTGAGATCAGAACCTTTCTCTTGTGCATCTCCAAGCTCGATGAAGTAAGAACCTTTTGATACAAGGTTGCTGCGTATAACAGATAACTGAAAAACTGAAAAAATGGCAAAGAACATTGATGCATTCACCATGGTGGCTTTTCGGTACTCCTCTAGCCCTTGTCTGCAGTAAAACAGCTTGGCAATCTGTATCAATTGTAATATGAAAAGGTAAAAGATCCGTTATTGGCAGTTACCAGATGCATAAAAACAATGAAACCTTAACTCAATGCTTGATATAGACACCTGTAGTTATTATCAATTTTTTATAACATATGCCTTCTCTTTGATTACTAATGAGAAGTAGGTACGTCGCATAGACATTATTCTACTGCAACTACCTGTAGATATACAGTTTTGAGTTGTTAGTAGGACCCTTTGAGGTTATTTGTAACAAAGAACTCGGAACAACTTGAATACTAATATTGTTTGCTCTTAAAAAGTAAACAAAACGACTGGAAGACAGATGTAACGAACACCGACGAGGCATTATCAACAAAAAAGTAGAAGAGTCTGGTTTTGCAGAGCACTTCTGCAGCGCAGAACATTCCACCAATGACCTTACTATCACACCATTTCTTCAACTTAACGACATACGAGTTTGTGTTCGACGACCCAAAGAGCAAGTAAACCAATTTAGGAACTATTGTTTCGCTTTCTGATCCAATTGCCATCCGAATTCGCAGGGCTCAAGCTTTAATTTTTCTCTTTGTAAGCTCTTCCCTCGTACCTAGCGCAGATGAAATACGCATTTTGCTGCCTCTTGCATTGAATACGCAACATTCAATTGTGGTAGGACCACTGCTCCAAGGTTTACAGTACAAATCAAAACCTGTTCGGCATACTATCTCACCTTAGGTAAATTATTTTCGCTATGGGTACGGTAGTTCGGCAGTTAAAACCTGGTTGTTAATGTTAAAATTTGTACAGCTCTTTTGTCAAAAACACTCTTTATTTCTCAACTTGATGTCTTGCCAACTTTTGTTACGCAAGAATACGTTATGATATGTCTTGATATGATATGTTATTTCTTGAATCCAATCTCACCCGTTTTGATAAAGCAAAGAGAGGTCAAATGGCGTTATCTTTGCGGAGAAAAGAATTGTCTCACTCTTAAATTGGCTTTAACCATTAAAGACAGACCCGATCGAAGACCAGGTAATCTGTGACGATAGGGAATGCTCTGTATCGGGGGACCATCGCCAGTGTGTATTTGTGAAGAGATCAATACGTATGTAGACACAAGAGCCATCTGTGAGACCTGCTGGTGAGTTCTAGCATCTCTCAATCTCTTTGTATGAATTTGCTGTTTTCAGTAAAGCTTATCTCATCTCATGAAAAGACAATGCAAAGTCTACTGATTACTAGAAAAATTGCCTAGTTTTGAGGAACTCGAGAAATGGTCAAACTTTGTGCAATAGTTTCAAGACAATATAACACAAGCACCAATATATCGTTAAGTATTGATCTTGATTGTGACAGATCTGAAGAAATCTAGTTCTCAAAATGATGTTTTGCAAAGGAGAAGCACAGCTGCCCAGCACTTCCTTTTGCATAAAAAATGGAGGTCACACTTCCATCGCCTCATTTCCTATTTTCAAGCATGATTTTTCACTTTCTTTGTTAAAGCTATTTCAACTTTTTGATGAATATTAGCGCCCTGCTACTGTTTTTCATACCCACTGAATTCCCTCCTTCCTCAAAAGAATAGAAAAAGACTAGCAAAGCTGGGGCTTTTCCCTTTTTTTTCCATTGGCTGCAGCTTAGCATTAATTTAAGATGTTTCATCGATGATTGATTTTCTACTTCTATTTCATCATTATCTGCAAAGATTGTTGTTCTGGTCATATCAAGTTTCTTCTTGTTCTTTTACTATATAATTGTTTCAGATTGCTCTTTCCAATTTGTCTAGAGCCCAACCACCGACCCCCATTCCACTCCCCGACTCCCTCCCGACTTTAGATTCTTTTCAACGGGGATTTACTGCAACTTCAACATAAACTGTAATATAAAAGGTTTATATTTTGTTCACGTGCACATAGCCTTATATGATACTTTGTGAATCGAACGATACTGCTACTCAACTAGCTTTAAATCAACTAGCATTTTTTCTCTTTGAGTTACTGTGTGAACGTGCATGTGTGTACATAGCCTATGCTCCAGACCCTCTACCTTCAAGTTAAGGCTCTGGAACACAGGCTAGTGTGTATAATGCTCAATTATTCACAACCATAGAGTAAGAATAATAAAGACAACTTGCTACTAGGTAGGCACTTTAGGCATATACGGGTAGGATCCAGACACCAACGTCATTGCCCTTTTGATGCTGTTAGGGTTTCATTTTGAGACTCTCTGTCATTTTGTTAATAAGTGCCCAGTAAAACCATAATTACATGTAAACATAGTTTCTTTCAACTGAACTTTCTAAATAGCTGTTATAGATACCAGTTTTGGATTTAAAATGGATATAAAAACTAGCTCGAGTTCAGACAGTCTACCGTACTTCCACTAAAAGCGTCGCAGCGTTTATCACAAAATTCAACTTTTGGTTGCGGCGTTTAATAGAGGGCGGCGTTTATCAGAGGGCGGCATTTGATGCAATATGAAATGTTTGTCACCTAAAAAGGGACAAAAAAGTGCGAGTAAAAAGAGAAAAGCAGACTTTAAACAATGTTTTATTTTCCCAAAAACACGTAATAAAGATCGTGTGAAACAAAGTTTACAAAAGATGTGTTCACGTCAGGGGCGGACTGGCTGGTCGGGCTATTCGGGCGATCGCCCGAAGGGCCGGTCGGTTTAAGGGCCGGTCGGTTTAAGGGCCGGTCGGTTCAAGGACCGATCGGTTTAAGGGCCTGTTGATAAAAGTGCAAAAGAATAAATTAGCTTAAAAAGTGAATACGAGGCAAAAAAGTACACCCACGCGTTAATCTGTTTGCCTTAAATTTTCAGAGACTTTGTGGGAAAGAATAAATATACACACTTCTTCAGGGAACATGTTATTGACATTTTGTTATATTTTCTCTTGACGGTATTTCCTTTTTGGCGACATATTATACTGTAACATCCCTGTTTCAATGCGATACATGAGCCCCGGCAAAACGACTGGACATTTGCACTGGTCACACACTAGACATCTCATATTTCAGAGTGTGGACATCCAGAAAATATTGGTTATGGCAAAACGACTGAACATTGCCCAGTGAACTTTTTCCCTGTTGAAGAATGCGGGTGGGAAAACTGACAACAGGACATCTCTTTACCTTTGAAAATACACTTTTCATGGCCCTAACCGTGTTATCGTATGAATTAGAGTGTATTATTGAAAAGTGGCTAGGACTGCTAGGTTCATCAAAATCACCGTCCTCGTGCTCTCTGACATCGCTTTCCTTATCGGAACTAAAGGTAATCTTATCAGAAGATTCATCGTTACTAATGAAATGCCTTTTTCTGCTATTGGTCGAATTGAATTTTCACGTTGTTTCCATTTCGTTCGCGGTGTTGACTAGGAAAGTTTGTTGAAGATTTGAATATGGGAAATAAATTGACGCCAAATCCAAACCATTAATCGATTGCGCGTGCGCGAACTGGACAATGTTCAATAGAGTGGCAAAACGACTGAACAATTTCTGTACAACATCAGTGAGCAAAAGAAATTTAATCCTGTGCACTGAACATTTTTGGCTGCCTTCAAAATCGACTGAACAACATTCAACATCGCTGAACAACACTGGACAAGGTGGCAAAACGACGCAACATTTACGCTGGACATTTGTCCAGTCCATGTTCAGTGAAAATGTCCAGTCGTTTTGCTGAGGCTTGAGATTTTAACCTGCCCCGATGTCTTTTTACTTAGCTTTTGCTTGAAGCTGGTCATTTTTTTCCCTAAGCACAAGCTATTGCTAAATGTAATAAATTTAAAAGTCCAAAAATTAGAGTTCATTAAGCGATTTGCTCTGTGATGTGAAGTAATGAAGAGGACATGCGTAGAACAAGGAAAGAGCAAGAAGACTTCAACCAAAGGTGGTGCACAGAAATTTCGTGAGGAAAAGCTGTGAGACTTAAAAAAGGATTCAGCTACGATACAAAGCTTTTTTTATCAAGCAAAAGCCACAAACGTCACAAAAAACAGCAGGGTCTTGCTCTTGCTCCTTTCAATAAACTCATACAAGTTATGGTAAATTTATTAGGCATATACTATCATAAGTCAAATGGCCCCCAGCCCAACAGGTACTACACGATAATGGTGCTACACGATAAAATTTCAACAGGGGTGCCCATGTTTTCTTTTTGGGGTTAGAAATTGACAAATCGATATTTTTGGGCTGCTGAAAATCATTGTGGTTTTCCGGAGGATTAAAAAATTATTTGTCACAAGTTGAGTGTGATAGAAGCTTTTCCACTTTAAATATATAAAGAACAGATTACGTGGTAATTTTTCGCAGCTTAGAAAAACACCTGTTAGATGACGTCTAGAACGATCACATTATCAACATATAAGTTACTGTATTTAGAAAGAAAGTCAAACCAATGAGTTAAAATTTTTGTTTATTTACTATTTAGTCAGCAAATGACTTATTCAACATGTTCTGTTAACCAGCATTCATCCATGCACACAATTACTGAATTTAAAAACTTGTTTTCCTTACAGACTAACATTTACTTGCATTTTCCGAGGAGTTTTTTATTTGCTACTTTTGTGGGCCGGTTTGATCAAAATTTGCCCGGGCCAAAAAAATTAGCCAGTCCGCCCCTGGTTCACGTTTTGGAAATGGCAAGGAGTTTCAATATCCGTCAGAGTCCTCGTCTCTATGATATAGCAACTTTCATAGCTTTCGAATGGTAAGCAGATAAAGCGTATAAACTGTTCGTTAATTTATATTTGGTCTGTTTTATAATAAACGCCACTTTTCAAGATGCGGAATTCAAAAGAGGGCGGCATCTATCAGAGTGCGGCGTTCATTAAAGGAAATACGGTACTGGTTTTCCTCTTAAACACTTTCTTCTGGGTAAGGCTTGTTTTTCGTCCTTTTTCCAACTATTCAAATAGTTTCATCTCTGAAAATGCAATGATGTAGGAAAGGTCACCCCATGGTTCCCATTTCAGTTTTGTAGTTTCGTATCTCGCTTTTGTCTGTCCCATCAGAAAATGTTGCCTGGTTTTCTTGTCATTATGTTTCCGTACATAGTAAGGACAATGACAGCAGAGTCTTTCTTATCCTAAGTGCTACATTTTTTTAAAGGATTGGTAAAGAAACGATATTGTTAAAATCTCAGAAAGTGTCCTTAGAAATTTGTATTTATTTATCAAAAGTGGAACCAATTACATGACAATACAATAGGGTGACCTACCCCCCCCCTGCCTCAGGGTGAATAAAACCCGCTGCCTGGGACTAAGCTATGGCCCCTCCGTTCATTGTAACCTCCCTCATTGTTCCAGCCTCAGTGAAGCGACGAAAAGAATACTTTTTTAGTCAATTTAGGAAATATTCAAATTACCAGGCAACAAGGACATCGTATCCCCCCCCTTACGAGCGAGGGCATGCTATCGGATAATTTTTTATGTTTGATAAACCATAAAGTATATTTTTTGGATTGAATTTTATTTTCATAATTTTTTTAATTATGATAGATTTGTAAACGGGTCTCGATTCTTTTTTTTTCAGTACCACATATTTTTAAGTGCTTACAAAATGCAATACATTCTTTTGTTAATGGAATTTAGCGATTGCAATAAAAATTCAAGCTTAGATGAGAACAGCTGTCACAATATTATTTTTCAAATCTATTGCCATTCTAGATTTAGCAATTTCTAAAGCCGTCAGTTTATAGAAGGTACGAGGAACTTTCAGTAGCTGAAAGCCTTTTGGATTAGTTTAATATTTCGCTATGCAATACAAGCATTTCAGATTTAATTGATAATAGAAAAGAAAACGATAATATTGAAGGGAGTGTCATCTAAATTTTTGTAGAATACCTCAACTAAAGGGATACAAAATGATTATTTTGAAACGCTACAGACACCATACAGCCTAATAGGTGGATCGCATAGATAGGAAGTCAGTTTGATATGTCTATTTACCAGAGCCGCATTAACGTTTTTAGGGCCCCCGGGCCCAAGTATATATGGAGCGTCTATTTAATCTAGTATAAAAGTCTGTGCATCTGATTCACATACAGTAATTTGCTCGTACACAAAAGTACTAAGCCAAAATATTACCCTTCCCCCAACATCTTCTTATCGAATTTAGACGAAATACACAGACGTTTTTTCCGAGAGGTGGGGAGGGGGCGTGTCCCCTGTGGCACCGCTATTGTTAGAATAAACTGAGATCAACGACGTTTCATTAAAAACTGAACACTAATGTGAACGTTGACAACTTTGTCACCGAAGCAACAAAAACATTAATTGATAAGTCGAACAAAGATATTCTTAGAACCAAAAGGCCTTGATATCATATTTCCATGTTACCTTCCAGAGTAAGCTTCTTCCAGATTTTGAATCCAGTTCTGTTTTTCGGCATATAATCTTCATTTAATATTTGCGTATATTTATTTCTATTCATATCCAGTGATAGATATTGACAGCTTTCCACTAGTAGTGTAGCAGCCAAAGCCTCTGAAACGACGATCTTGAGCAAATTGTGATAAAAGCATGACAATCTGCACACCAAAACAGTTTGATATGCTGAATGAGAAGGGGTCGGGACCCAGTCTGAGAAATGCCCCTAAATGCTATTTCTGGAATGCTTAATTGTTCCCAGACTCCTCAATTGATTATCTCAATAACTTTGTTGAAACCGAATTTAAATGACATGAAAATTAGTATAAATGCTTATCATAACACGGTAATGTGATTTAGATTCACACCCATCGTCAAATTGCCACCAAATGCTATTTTTAGGCCATGTACTCGTTCCCAGACCTCTAACACGCTAAGCTTCGCTACAAGCGAAATGAAAAACAAGCAACTTGATGAAGATACTAATGATAACAATGCCAAACCGACTTTAATTCGCACCCGCCATGGCAGTGGTCCTGAAATATCAAAACTGGGAAAGGATTTAACTTTTCACTTTTCCTGCTTTGTAAACTGCCAGCAATGTGCAAATTTAGGTAACGAGCCATTGTATCAACGCATGCAGGGTCGTATTAACCATTAAGCAGACTAAGCATGTGCTTAGGGCACCAAAATCAAATGGGGCATCACATTGTTGAGAAATGAGTGACAAGAAAAGAAAAAATATGTGGCAAATGTAAAATTGGCAAAGCTGATGTAAATTGATCAAAATATGATGTTTCTTGGTCAGGTTTTGTTCCCTAGTAAATGTAAAAGAAGTCGACAAAACTATTACAGATTGATGTAAATTTTCTGCTTCTTGATCAGGTTACCAAAATAAGGACTGCTAGCGCTTTGCACTTTGGCATCGGCTGGTCAATATGATCTTTAGCAAGGTCACATTTTCCTGTGAACTCTGTGTCTAAGATGTAATGTGTACGGTATCCGTGATATTCCACTGCATTAGTATGAAGATACCAATCATCTTCTTTGATTCTTTCTCTAAATTCTAGCACTTAGTATAAGTAGTTATTTCTAACTTTCGATATATTTTTACTTTTTCGTTCGAGAGAAACTGTTTGTAATCACTAAATGACAGGTCTAGGGGGTGTTATAGGAGTTCAAGCACACCTTGTCTGAGCTTCAGTCTTTTGTTGAGTAACCAATTAGTGAAGGGTTTGGTCAGCAAGGTCTACCTGGGCTTTTCAAGCTTATGCTGCTCACGCTTGGTGTTCTGTTATCGACTCCTTTGGTAATTGCCTAGTTATGTTATTGACTCCTTTGGTAACTGCAGAGTGATCTCCTACACCTTTTGCCTCAGGTTTTTGATTTTGTCTGGCAGAAAACTTCTTCATCAGAAAACACCATATTTAATGGTTTGTAATGCACTATTATTAGGTGGATTGGCAGCATTACTTCTGATAGATCTAATGCCATGGTTTCTTGGTGTATTGCTCTCATACCTGGGTTGGCGCTTCTAAATCTTTTCTATGCCTTCTCTACAAAACTTAAATCCTTACAGTAAAATACTATTCATCTCATCAACAACTGCACCTTTACAAATTTCTGCAACTTCATTCTCCTCGGCGTTGTATTGCTAACCAATCCATTTTTAACAGTTATTTCCATACACATTGCTTTCAGGAGATCTGATCTTTTATCCCTGATTCCCCAAGATATACCCGGAATCTTCCTCGTCTTTCCTTTCTAGAGCTTGTAAACTTTGAAACGTTTTGGAGCGTCCTTCTTGCACCCCAGATTCTTATAACCTATCTATTTTCAAAACCAAAACCAATAAACCTGATAATATCATCTTCCCCTTTTCTTAGCCTTGGGTCATTGGTAAAAAGAGGGGGCACCAAGATTGGTGAGTGCCTGGGGCACCAAGATTGGTGAGTGCTTGGGGCACCAATGAACCTCGATCTTCTCCTGAATGCAAAGTCTTTGTCGGTTAGCACTAATGACCTGCTTGAAGAATTTATTTCTACAAGGGAAGACTTACATGTCTGCCATGCAGTAGGCTTTTCTCGACCAGCAAACGATTTAACTGTATCAAAAACGAATGGTGCATACCGAAACATGGAACACAGTATCTCGCGATGCCTGAAAGAATATGTTGGAAGTCAATTAAATCCTTTACGCGTGAAAATCCAAATCATTCTAGATTTCTTGTTTGTTATTATTAGTATTCTTGTTAACTTTCATGTCACTGATTTCATTTTCAACAAAAATATAGAGATAATCAATTCAAGAGATTGGGACAACTAAGCATTCTAAAAATAGCATTTGGGGGCATTTTGAAGATCCGTCGATCCAAATCCTTTCAGTGTGCTATAATTAGTATCTAAAGCAAGTTGCTTGTTTTTGATTTAATTCTTAGCGGAGTTAAAGAGAGAACATCTTAGAGGTCTGGGAACAAGTACATGGTCTAAAAATAGCATTTGGGGGTATTTTGACGGTGGTTGGGGATCTAAACCACATTACCGTGTTATGATTAGTATTAATACCAATTTTCATATCATTGATTTCATTTTCAGCAAAGTTAAAGAGATAATAATTTCAAGGGTCTGGAAACAAAAAATCATTCTAAAAATAGTTCTTGAAGGACATTTCTCAGTCTGGGTCTCGATTCCATCTTTTTCAGCATGTCAAATTGTATGTTTGTACAAATTTTCATGCTTTTTTCACGATTTGCGCATTCTTTCTGCTTATCTCCTACCCTATAGAATGCATTTATGAAAGTTCTCGCTAAAAACTGTTGTACCCAAGTTGAGATCAGAACCTTTCTCTTGTGCATCTCCAAGCTCGATAAAATAAGAACCTTTTGATACAAGGTTGCTGCGTATAACAGATAACTGAAAAACTGAAAAAATGGCATAGAACATTGATGCATTCACCATGGTGGCTTTTTGGTACTCCACTAGCCCTTGTCTGCAGTAAAACAGCTTGGCAATCTGTATCAACTAGCACTTAAATGAATGATAGAATCAGCTGTGTTGATTGTTCATAATACCAATGATAAAAGCCTTCTCCTGTATAATTACAGCGAAAATAGTTCAGCAATTAATTAAATACAGTATCCTTTAAATACAGTATACACTTGTATGTATAATGTTATTCTATGTTGGTATCAGCATTGTATAGAAATTCTTATAACAAAATATTTAGACGAATTGATATAAGGGCATTCTATGCTAATTTCATGAGCCTACCTATAATAGTGTGTCATACAACCGTCACAAACTTACGTATTAGAAGCCCATTAGAATTGCCTATCGTATGGCACACTTGTCTCAAGCCAAGAACATGTTACGGAAGAAAGGCAAGCCTTTAACTTTTTTGTCACTGGCTGTGAATATAAAACTCTCGAACAGGCTTGCAAGCACATCATTGTAATCAATCCCCCTAGCCAGACCTTACTTTAAATTTATCATTTTTCTAATTCTGTATTCCCTCTATATAGCTCTGTATTCTAACTCTGTATTCCTCCTTCTTTTGTCATTTTTTCTCACTGAAATGGTAAATCTAGATGCTGGTCTCACTGAAATTTTGAATTTTTTGTAGAAATTTGATAGTAGGAATTGAGCCCTCGTCTACCTTTTCATCTGACACTTCCTCTCGTCTTACGTTCTATCCGTATCTGCAAAAGGATATCTGCTTATTTCAGTCAAAATCCAACGTTTATTCTCTAGTAAGAAAATCAAGTAAACTTGTATCCGTATTCAAATTGAAAAATCTTTCATTGCTTCGCTTATCCAAAGTAAAAAACATTCATCTGCTTTATTAAATATTTTCAGTACTGGAGGCTTGTTTGATTAACATAAATTGTCACGTCTTACTCAGTACACATTTCTCGTGAAGCCAGTACTGTAACCCCTTTCCAACCTTCTCTACTCCTCTCCTCCCCTCTTCTCCCCTCTTCTCCCCTCCCCAACTTTTCTTCCCCTTTCCTCTCCTTTCTTCCCCTTTTCTCTCCTTCCCTCCCCTCTTCTTCTTTCTCCACCCCTCTTATTTCCTCTCCTCCCCTTATCTCCCCTTCTCCTCTTCCCCCCTTTCTTCCCCTCTCCACCCCTCTTCTCCCCTTTCTTCCCCTCTTCCCTCTTTTCTTCCCCTCTCCACCCCTCTTCTTCCCTCTTCACCCCTCTTTTTCCCTTTCTTCTCCTTTCCCCCTCTCCTCTTTCCTTCCCACCCCTCTACCTCCCTCTCCTCCCTCTTTATCCCTCTCCACCCCTTATCTCCCCTTTCTTCCCTTTCCACCCCTCTTCTCCCCATTCTGCTCTTCTGCCCCTTTTCCTCTCCTCTTTCCCTTCGATGCTTGCACCATGGTGGCTTTTCTGTCCTCTACCAGCTCTTGCCTGCAGCAAAACACATTTGAAATCAGTATGGACCAAAATTTAACGGAATGATGGAATCAGCTATGTTTATTAATCACAACTGTAGCGATTTTAAGCCAAAATATTCTTATAAAAATTGTCTATTGATCCTGTTTATGTTTCATTTTAAGATTTTCGATCATCTTGTCCATTCGTGCTCGCTACTCCCAAATTACGTGTAACCATATATGCTTCCAACTGATCTCTAAAGAGGTGCTGCAAATGCTAGTTTTTGATCCAAATAGGGTTTTAAAAAATCAGCTTCAGGTCAGTGTTAACAAAACTGTATGGGTAGCCTCTGGCTATCGGAAATTGCCTTTACTCCGATGGTCCGGAATTTTCGCTTTTCCGGAAAGTTTGTCTATTCCTTTTATCGAGTTTTCTCTATTCCGGTGCGAAATTGTGAAAAGAAATACTTTTGGATATGAGGAGTGGCCCCACAGCTATAGATATAAAAAGACTAAAGGCATTTGACACAGATAAAAGTGGCTTACAGCCAATCGACCGCCAACGGTTGACCAACCGAACTGCACAATGAAAATATCATGTAGACAGTTTCCACCTTTCGGTAAATCGGCGGTGTCCCAACGCAGCGCACAGTGGGTTAAAAATGGAGGATAAAGTTATAGACTTTGTCTCCGCAAAAGACTATCGTTCATCTATCTTTTCGATCCATCGAATCGATCTATCGTTTCAAAATCATCGAATCGGTTATCTGGAATCTTCGAGCAGCACATTTTCTTACTTATAGTCTTCGGCAATGGTCCTAGTTTTTCCTCTACACAGTTTCACGTGAGCAGTTTCCAATTCCTTCCATGTGCGCATGCTCTGCCTCGTTTGGTCTAAGTCATTTTTGGATTTTCTGTCATCATCCATGTCAAATGCCTTTAGGGACTCCGTGCTACACTAGCATTCACCCTATAGCACGATCTGTAAGAGGAGGAGCATTGTAGTTGTATTTTAATCCGTTTAATTAGCAATATGATGCAGTATTTTTACAAGAGTATATTTTTAAAATGGCTTTGAAAAAAGCAAACATTTTACAACACACTTAAAGCTTTTTCGTCTGACACTCCTCAGAGCATAAAACGTCAGAATAGGTTCCGAAAAAACACGATGGAAAAATATATACCCAGTTGTGGATCGAAATAGGCCAATCAGAAAAACGCAGGCACAAGACCGGTATAGTTGACCAATCAGTGCCGCGAGCCTAAAGAAAAATTACCAATGGAGTCCAAGAGAGAAAACGAACTCCTTTTGTCTACACAATGGCGGCTTTTTCGTTTTTATGTATATATTTTTCCATCGTGTTTTTTCGGAACCTATTCTGACGTTTTATGCTCTGAGGAGTGTCAGACGAAAAAGCTTTAAGTATGTTGTAAAATGTTTGCTTTTTTCAAAGCCATTTTCAAATTCTGTACCGCAAAAAAATAGTATATTTTTAAGGTCAAATAGTTGTTTGGAATTTGAAAATGAAAAGATTAAAAATGAATGTCGATCTCCAGCCTCTGTATGTGGTTGAAAACTCTACAGGCTGCATAACACGTGCGTGTCTTCCTCTCAAATACTTTGTCCTTGGTAAGGTTTGAATTTGCTAATGTCCCTTGTCAAACTATGCACGCAGTTTCATCTCTGCAAACGTGATCTTTTTTTCAAGGTCAACCCATGAGTCCCATTTCAGTCTTTCGTGATGGTTGCGAGCGTCTGGAAAGAAATAGCTCATAAGGCGGGCCTTGGAGCAGTTTTTATACCACCACGGCCCAGCACGGGTAGCAGCACAATTTCGATCAGAGTTGTAATCATTGTCGTTGTCCCAAGTTGAGAATTTTATTCCAGCTGTCATAGAGTCCCCAATGTCACCTGTGTATCCACCAATATGTATCGTGTACTTGTTCTCCCTTCCTGCAATGCGAAATTCAGTATACTTTGCAAACCCCTGCGTGCCGTTTGTCGCTTTAAGGTCTATTCTCAAAGTGACATTGTCTCGACTTGTCAAATAGTGGATTGTGTCCAGCCCCAACCAGAAATTGCTCTTCAAATCACCAAAGCCTTGTGCACATTCCTGCCATGTTCTGTTGAAGTTTATTAGACTTGTCACCCTCCGTAAAAACACAGTCCACCCTCCGCCGTCTGTTTCCATATCACAGTATACTTGTGCAGATTGACCGCCTGGTAACCGTATCTTGATGACTCCGCTGCCAAGGTTTCCTGCATTGTATGCGTCTTTACAGCTTCGATATATTGTACCTTCGAAAATTAACGTTGATAGTTAATGTTAATTGATATATATTTATATCGAACAAAAGAAAGACGTAGGTGCTAATAAAAAAATGTGCGAGATGACTGCCGACTTAGTTTCGACCATAGGCCGTAATCATGGCAAACTAAACCAAACTAATATATATATATATATGAACATCTCCTGAAGAGTGAGTTACTCACGAAACAGGCTTGTAGAGATAAACCATGTAGTCTTATTTTCTTCAACTCTATGATATATCACGCTCTACGTGCTAACGTATTGAGCACTGTACTACGGAAGTATCAAAAGACAAATTTCTAAAGTATATATTTATATATGTATATATTCCAGATTGCCTTGTCTATTCTGACGTGACAGTGCTCGATGTGCAAAAGCACAGAGCAATAGATATAATAAAATAGAATATAAACTAGAAATGAAACATGTTCTCTGTAAAACTCGGAGTAACTGAGAACATGTCTCATTTCTAGTTATTATATATATATATATATAAATATATAGATACTCAATAAAAAAACAACTTGGTTGACGTTTCGCTATAAACTTCTTCAGAATGAGTCAACCAAGTTGTTTTTTATTGAGTATCTATTTGTATTTTTAAAGAACTTTAGAGCTAGGAGCTATTGAATATATATGTATATATATATATATATATATAGTATATATGTAATCATAAGACAAAGCAAAGGCTGACAGGAGGAAAATTCTTTCCACAAGGGTGCTGCCCAATTGTATCGAGCCACTCCTGGTCGAAATCGAACTCCAGCTTGCTGCTTCAAAAACCCACGCTCATTCCACTGAGCCAAACGGCCCAATGAAATGAGCGAAGAATGGAGCAATATTTTGGAATGCATGTGAATTAATTTCCATTCTCTGGATGAGCTCTAAATTTCCTGATTTAACAAGGCTAAACCTATCGGCGTAGGATACCTAGTGGCTGAAGGGCTGCGGCCCCCTTTTCAGGCATCATCTATCATATTTCAGGCTTCATTCGGGCAAAATCTCTAAACGATTTGTATCCGCAACGCCCATCGATTTTTTCCGTTGAAGGAAAAGGTGGTGTTGGTGCCGCTTGTTCAGATTCAGAGAGGGAAACGGAAATAGCACATCTTTAGGCAACTTGTATCCCATTTTTCAACAACAAATGTTGCTTGAATCTTTTTAGAGGAGCAATACTTTTGCCCTTCCCTTTGGAGCTTCAATTATCATGTTTGTGCGTATAATAGGCTGCAGATTACAAAAAAAGAAGATTACATTTTTAGATCAATCATACGCATAGCGACAATGACATTTTATTACTTTTTGGAATAGCTGAAAAAATGAGGTTTAGCTTACTTTTATTGAACAAAGTTTTCTGTATCCATATCAAAGGATTTTTAGGTGGTAACTGGAAGCAACATTCTTTCTATACTGTTGCCTTTTCACCACTTTGAGGCTAAAGGCACTATGCATTTTGTGTGTCTGTGTAGATCTGTGTTTCTTTTCTGTCTGTCCCTTCAAAACTGTTACCTGGTTTTCATTTCAAAATGTTACATTACATTCTTATCTTCCAAACTATAACAGTTAAAGGTTTTTACAATAAAAGTAATTGTTGAAATCTTAAGCAACAAATTTTAGCAACATTATATTTCAAGTTTAGAAAAACACATTGTATTCACGTATCAACATGTTGCCTGTAGTGCGTGGCCCGATCTTTTGAGACAAATTTTCTGCATTTCGCCTTCTGCATTGGATACCCCTGGAAGCCATGACCCTGCCCTTCATTGTCCCCTCCAAGCAACAAGGGCGTCTAACTAGGTATTCTATTGGATAATAAATTAGGTTTATAAACAACCGACTATATTTTTCTCAAGTGAATTGGATTTTACAGGCAAAGTCAGAAAGTGTCTGTTCGTTTTTGCAAGGCTATGAGTGGACAGAAAATGAAAAATACTCACCATTATCTTAAGCCCTCGCGAAATAACTTTTCACTACCTTGTTCTCCTATCAGCCTGAGATCAGTCTTGAGCTTCACACTCACACCAGAAGAAGAAACCATAGTATTTTAAGTCCTGCATGTATACAGGGCCTTTTTTAGCATACATTTTTGTTTGGAGTCATAAAAAGAAAGTTATGAAAACTGAAATGGTACAGAAACGCCTTAATATCATAATGCTCTATTACCTTCTGGAGTTACCTTCTTCCAGATCTTGAATCCAGTTCTGTTTTTCGGTATCTCATCTTCATTTGATATTTGAGTGTATTTATTTGTATTTGTATCCAGTGATAGATATCGACAGCTTTCCATTAGACTGCATTTATGAAAGTTCTCGCTAAAAACTGTTGTACCCAAGTTGAGATCAGAACCTTTCTCTTGTGCATCTCCAAGCTCGATGAAGTAAGAACCTTTTGATACAAGGTTGCTGCGTATAACAGATAACTGAAAAACTGAGAAAATGGCAAAGAACATTGATGCATTCACCATGGTGGCTTTTCGGTACTCCACTAGCCCTTACTTTCAGTAAACAGCTTGACAATCTGTATCAACCAAAACTTGGTGCAGGATAGAATCAGCTGTGTTGGTTGTTCTCTATGCCTATGATATAAGCCTTCACTTGTATCTTTACAATGAAACAAGGTATGCAGTCAAAACACAATATCAATGCAGACACCTGTAAGTATAATTCTATTCAAAGTTGGTATCAGAATTATATGGGGCTGTTTGTAACCAAGGATTTGAACCAATTTATATAAGAGAATTGTATGCCATTTTCAAGAGTCTTCCTAATAACATTTATTAAAGTTAGTTTGCCACATACTGTCCTCTAGTAAAATGGAAGTGCCTATTGTAGGACACAGTCACAGAATAGGAAATAGGATAATTCCTATCCTGTGACACAGTTGTTCGTAGCCAATAGCATGTTATGACAAGGGTGTTGTGGCTCCTAGAAAAGGGTCGGGAGATATTATCAACAGGGGGCCCGTTCTTTTATCTGAAATCTCTAAACACAAACCACAGATCGCCAATGGAAACAATGCACCTATGAAAAATTAAAAAGTTACCAGTTTTTATCATTTTTAAAGAGCATTCTACTGTATTTGATAACAGTGTATCACTTTTGAACACTGTTTTGGAATCGATCTACATACAAATGAAAAAGCCGCCATTGTGTAGACAGAAGGAGTTCGTTTTCTCTCTTGGACTCCAGTGGTAATTTTTCCTTTGAACAACGAGCCGATTCGCTTTGGTCAAAGTCGCGCGACAAAAGCGAATCAAGTTGAATCTAGCCTTTACACAGGATCTTATTTTACTTGTTTCTCTGCGGAACAGATTTCCAAGGATATTCAAGATAACATTTGTTTTATGACTTGTTTCAGGCTATTCCAGCTTTGATGGCCTGGGTTGATTCTAAATCGTGGGTTACTAGAAAGGAAGAACTTAGAGGTCTAGGGCCGCGGTCACACTGTACTTTTCCAAGCATCCTTTTTGCTAATCCGTATTTGTTCTTACATCATGCGACCGGTCACAGGCCGCGGTCACACTATGCTTTTAAGCATGCTTTCTTAAAAGGTGTTGTACTAATGGCCTTGCTAAACATTTCTGGAATTCGGTCGGAATTTTGCATTTCCAAAGGAAATCCCCTTAATTCTTTAGGATGCTCTGTACCTTCCCAAAACCATGCTAAATACTTGTTATGCGTTCTAAATGAACAAAATCATGATGTTCTGTTTCCATAAAGGATTACTGATGTGCGTGTCCTTGACATGTGTGTCCTATGGCGGTTGCAATAAAATAAAGCGCACGCGTACAATTCTTTTCATTTATAAATTTTTCACTGAAAATTCAACAAGCAAAATTTACAAAACAATCATGTCGTACCCTTCCGGATCTGGAGGCAATTCTCAGCAAAATCCGTTTCAGTACCAAATATATTTGCAGCGAATTGAATTTGAACGCTACCAGAATGCGCGTATGAACTTGAATCCAGGGAATGAAGTTGCGAACGAAGATGAAAAGAAAAAAGGGGAAAACAATTGTCGCTGGTCCGAGATTCAAGCAAGAAGCCTGATTAAAAAGTGGAAAGAAAATGTCCCGGAGCTGGAAAGCAGTCGCAATCGGCAGGCATGGACAAAAATTATAAATAATGTTAATAGTAATGGACCTAAAAAAACTGTCAACCAGGCCAAGAAAAAACTTTCGAATTTACGAGAAACAAGATAGACGATTGTAGCTCCATCATGATAACGAATAAAGAAATTTTAAATTGGCGCGAACCAAGAAGCAAAAATAGTGAAATTTTGGCGGGAAATATACTCTGCGTGTTATAAATGTGCATGTTATTTTCTTGACCTATTAATTCCTTGAGGGTACTAAAGCATCCTTATAAAAAATCATGTGTGACCGGTCGCATGATGTAAGAACAAATACGGATTAGCAAAAAGGATGCTTGGAAAAGTACAGTGTGACCGCGGGCCACACATGATTTTTTATAAGGATGCTTTAGTACCCTCAAGGAATTAATAGGTCAAGAAAATAACATGCACATTTATAACACGCAGAGTATATTTCCCGCCAAAATTTCACTATTTTTGCTTCTTGGTTCGCGCCAATTTAAAATTTCTTTATTCATTATCATGATGGAGCTACAATCGTCTATCTTGTTTCTCGTAAATTCGAAAGTTTTTTCTTGGCCTGGTTGACAGTTTTTTTAGGTCCATTTTTATTAACATTATTTATAATTTTTGTCCATGCCTGCCGATTGCGACTGCTTTCCAGCTCCGGGACATTTTCTTTCCACTTTTTAATCAGGCTTCTTGCTTGAATCTCGGACCAGCGACAATTGTTTTCCCCTTTTTTCTTTTCATCTTCGTTTGCAACTTCATTCCCTGGATTCAAGTTCATACGCGCATTCTGGTAGCGCTCAAATTCAATTTGCTGCAAATATATTTGGTACTGAAACGGATTTTGCTGAGAATTGCCTCCAGATCCGGAAGGGTACGACATGATTGTTTTGTAAATTTTGCTTGTTGAATTTTCAGTGAAAAATTTATAAATGAAAAGAATTGTACGCGTGCGCTTTATTTTATTGCAACGGCCATAGGACACACATGTCAAGGACACGCACATCAGTAATCCTTTATGGAAACAGAACATCATGATTTTGTTCATTTAGAACGCATAACAAGTATTTAGCATGGTTTTGGGAAGGTACAGAGCATCCTAAAGAATTAAGGGGATTTCCTTTGAAAATGCAAAATTCCGACCGAATTCCAGAAATGTTTAGCAAGGCCATTAGTACAACACCTTTTAAGAAAGCATGCTTAAAAGCATAGTGTGACCGCGGCCTAGGCCTTTCCACTCTGAAAATATATTGGGGTACTCACTTTTCTCAGCATGCTACATTAAAGTCTCTCCAATTAGCATGCTATATGCATGTCCTTGTAACTTGGTTCTAACTATTTAATTAATCAGCACCCGAGAAAGCGTTGAGAAAGTTTGGGGGGGCTAAAAATTGGGGAGGGGATTAGATTCGAATAAAAAGTAACTTGAAAGTAGAGGTTCTGTGTAACCGAGAGCAATATCGCGTACGAGCTTTTCCCAGGATCTCTGGGAAAATTAATCATGCAAAAGTTATGCGGCATTCACATGACAAATATGAGCAACAGCGTGAACAGAGCTTAGTTTGCCGGGGCAGTTCAAATACACATTCAAATAGCGAAAACAGTGGCGTTCCCAAGGGGGGGGGGAGGAATAGGGGGGTCCGGACCCCCCACTTTTCTAAAATATGGTCTTCGAGTATTATCCAAAAACGATGTAAAACTCATTGGAGGGGGGGGGGGTAGTATACTGTATTAGACCAGAGGGTGGAAGGGGAGCACCACCACCCGAACGGAGAATTTATGAGACCAATCTATTCTGGTTCAGTTTTTTGCGTAGATTTCGAATTTGGGTGTTGATCAACGGTTTAAGGGGGCTTTCCCGAGATATGGGGGGTCTAAAGACAAATTTTGGGGTTAATTGCTACAAATTTGGTTTCCTCAATAAATTTCAATAAGATAAAGATAGATATGTTCTTTGACTATATCTATGATTGTTGGCTGATATTTGAAAGTGTTTTTCTATATTTAGAATTTAGGGGGTTAAGGGAGGTTAATATTTATACATGTTAAAGGTTCATATAGATGTTTTTCAACCTGACCTGTTTAAAAGATTAAAATAAGAGCTAATAACTATGTTAAAATACTAGTAACCGAAGAAATTTACCAATCAAACCTAATTTACAATATTTAATAATACTAAGGCTATAAAAAGTGAACGTAAAGATGAATTAAAAGTTGTCCCCGACTATAGTTGTTCTTTGAAGGTTTTCAAGGAGGGGGCCAATTTTGTAGCCCTTTCTAGACTGTTCCACAGTTTTGGACCGCGATAAGAAAAAGCCTTTTGGCCATTTATCGTTTTTAGCAGCGGTATCTTAAGATCAGTTTCTGATGAACGCAGAAACCGTTCTCTATCATCCGAACATTTTTCGAATATTTTTCTCAAGTAGTCTGGTGCAAGCATATTTAGAGATTTGTAAGTTAGCGTGGCTGTCTCCTTTCTTACAATATTTCTGATGGTTAACCAGCCAAGATTCTGAATTATCGGAGCAGCAGACGCATCGTATGGGCTGCTAGTTACAATTCTGGCAGCTCTATTTTGGATTTTTTGCAACACGTCAAGCTTTGATTCATTACAGCAGCCCCAAACGGAACAACAGTAGCTCAAATGGGGCTCAACAATTCCTCTATACATTTTGATGAGGATGTCAGATGGAAGATTTTTTTTAGAATACTTAATAAGTCCAAGGGCTCGATTAGCCTTGGTCTTGATAGTATCGATATGCTTGTCCCAGTTGAGCTTACTGTCTATCTGAACACCTAAGTATCTTGTGTTGGTGATCATTTCAATGTTCTGACCACCTATTGAAAAAGAAAAAGATGGTGGAGCATCAGGCTGGCTTTCGATCTTACGGATGTTTGGACCAGAGCCTATAACAAGTGACTGCATTTTCACTACGTTCAGGGAAAGTTTATTTGCATGCAGCCAATCCTGTAGTTTCAAAAGATCTAAGTAGTTTCGAACATCCTCTGGATTTTGCGAAAGAAATTCATTAAACAGAATTAGAAAAGTCACCTTTCCACACGTGGTGTACTTGAGCCTTCTTGCTCTATCATTGGTTAAGAGGCTTGTCTGCACATATGTGCAATGTAATTTGCAACGCTTGATGTATCTCAAAAGGCTGTTTTTGCATGGTGGCTGCAAAGAGAAGTCTGTGATTTTTGACCCCTTGAAAAATTTTTTCAAAAATTTTTCCGTTGAATATCATGAACAGACCATAATTTATAGGATTACTTGATGTCCCTAGCTTTGCGAAAGTTGTGACGAATGCTTTTGTGCCTTGCATAAGCTTCCAACTCTTTCTAAAAAATACCTACCTACCTACCTTCCTTTCTACCTTCCTCCCTATCTACTTACCTACCTACCTCCCTATCTCCCTTTCTACCTACCTACTTACCTAGCTACATACCCACCTATCTATCCATCTACCTACCTGCTTTCCCGGACATCGAGCAGCCCCACTTCATATACACACTCTTCTTACATGAAAATAACGAAATATAGTCATTTCCACTAAATGCATGCAAGCCAAGCGGGGCTTCTTTTTGAAAGACCGATAATTCACAAGCAGCTAGAGCGAAGATTTTTCTATTTTTACCTGTCCCACTATCAATAAATATTTAGAAATGAGGTTCCTGCCT